AACACCACGATGTGTGCGCTACGTATACATGTATAGTCCCCCCAGGAAGCGCACGTGCCAACTGCAGGTGCTTCCTCAGCCTGACCAAGGGGTTCGAAACTCGAAAGCTGGCTGAGAAACATTTTTCCAATTATTTAGTTGGTCTAATAAAAGAGATCAGATTTACCCAAAGAGCCTTGTCTATCTATGCATTAGTGACGTTTCATTTTCATCATGGAAAAGTGTGGATTTGGGGTTACTTCTTTTCAACAAAAACTGGGGATTTTTTAAATTTTTTTTTTTAATCAGAGAAAACCAGGATCCCTGGACATCCCGGGAGCTATATGGCCTCCTGTTACTATGACGACCCCGCCAGGAAGTCGCAGTCCTGTAAGGTCATCCTGGCCTCACGAGATCATGCCAAGCCGGCCGCGCTGTGGTGTGACATCACCGCCTTTCGTCGTGTCGTCATGCCGCATCACGGTGCCCAAAGACACCCCCGCAGTCACAACCTGAGATGACATCATCCCAGCAGGGCAGCAGGTCATCACTGTCACAACTCCACGGGTGACCTCCTAGCCCCCTCATACCTTGCCAGTGCTGCCAGCTGGGCCCTGCAGCACTCGGCGCTGCACATACGCAGCACGTGGACGGCCTGTTCTCAAAAGCTTCTCAGCTGCGTGTGATGCAAGCCATGCTCCACAGGTATCCGGAGCAGACTCGTGCGGGGGGACCACACAGCATGCAAGACAACCTCCCACAGCTCTGCTGCAGCATGGGAGCCGTTCACTAGAGCCTGCCCCCCTCATCCAGGCCCTGATCTTATGCACGATCACTGAGGGGCCGGGGATGTCCCCCACAATGGAGGTCTATTCTCCTCCCAGCAGAGCAAGGACCTCCAAGGCCATCGGGGGCTGACCACACAGCATTTAGCTCAGAGAAAATCTGTTCCATCAGGAGAAGGAGCAAGATCTCATTGTTCAGCGACGGGAAAGACACAAGTGAGAGACAGAAACCCGAGGATACAGAAAAGTGGGTGTTGGCAGCTGCTGTATTTACTGTCAACACATATGCACTAATAGGGATGAATCCTGCTCATGTTTGCAAATGATGCCAGCTGTGCCCAAGGCAAGGATGGGGAGAGTGCCCGTGGCCGCCGCGCCTGGCACACCTATGAGATGGCGTGGATGAAGACGAGGGCGAGGGAGCAAGCAGTGATTCAGCTTGGAAATGATCATAAACGTAGCTATGAACTGGAGCCCTAAAAATCCCTGCTGTAGCAGCAGGAGGGGGGGAAAAAAGTCTCTCCTGGCCTCATCTAGCAACCAGCAAAGCCTAGGAAATACCCATAGCAGAGCCTAAACCATCCCTGTCCAACCTCCTCTTCAACACCCCAGTGATGGAGAGACCACATCTTCCCTGTTCCACTGCCTCACTGTTCTAGCAGTGAAGAAGTTTTTCCTGAGATCCCATCTAAACCTAAACCTACAGGTCTGTCTGCCTAGTCCTGAGACCAGCTTCAGCATGGAGCAGACGGTGGGAGGAGAGAAGGGCACCGCCTCCTCTCTCGGCCTCTCTCTGCACCAGGACTCTGCACAGGCCCTCCTGTCAAACCCCTGGAGCCCCAGCTGGCTGCAAGAATCCCCTTCCTCAAAACTTAAGCCTTGCTCCCCTCTCGTCTCTTCTAGCTCCAGCCAATCCCCAGCGAAGCCACCACTCCAGACTGCCAGGCAGCTGCAGGGATGGCCCCGGCCCTGCAGCTCTTGTGATCAGGCTCCCGCATCCTGTCGTACCTGGTGGGCCCTGTGAGAGCACCGGCTCCTGGGATCAGGTGAGTCCATGAGACGCTCTGATCTTCTCTAGGTGGAAAAATTGTCATTCCCACTCCCGCTGGTGGAGAGAAGCCGGCAGCCAGCCAGCCAGCCTGCAGGCCAGGAATAAGCTGTGTCCAAGCCCTGCCCCAGACTCACGTTAGATGCGGTCCTGGCATGGCTGGCTACAATGCTACCCCCTTTCCTCCCTCCCACGCTGGGGGCCACAGCAACCTGCCTGCCTCTGTGCACCAGCCCAACGGGCTCAGCTCCAGCAGAGCGGTGGCCCCTTTTAAACGCTCAGGAAGCAAAGCAACAGGTTGACCTTTAATTTTTGTCTCCCTGCTCTCATGATGTTGGGGGATTGTCTCTTGCCTTCCCCTCCACCTCCTAGCTTTATTTAATAGTGCCTGGACCTTATGCTCTTGCTTGTTGGCTGCAAGAGAGGCCAGTGATTTAGGCTCTCAAGCTTTTTTTATTTTAAAGAAATTGTTCATGTTCCAAGCCAAATCAAGTCCAAATCCAGGAGTCAGTCCAGAAGCATAAGTGGCCCTACAACCAGCAAACATCCACCAGGGGCTTCAGATATTTCCAGCATCTTTTGGCAGGCATCCTACATGCAGGACCAAGCCAGGAGGCTTGGGGTTCAGATGCCCCCAAGTTTTGCCTGTCCTCAGCCATATGGCCACAGGAGCAAGCTAGGGAGGAGCCTCCCATTTCCATAAAGTAGGCTTTAAGCCCCAACACCTTGGCGGGTACTAAACCACGCCAGAAGAACTGTTATCCCCCGGGCTCTCAAAGAATACTGCCTTCACAGCCCCAGATGCATGGTGTTTCCCCTGCCAGGTAAGTAGGCTTTCATGCATGGAGTACCACATGGTCTTGGATGCTACTTGTAGCAGGCATCATGCCAGGGCCCTGGTCCAGACCTCACAGGTTGTGCACTCCACACGCCTACAGCGAGGCAGTTTCAGCTGGGAGCAGAGAATTGCCACCCTGGGTCAAATCAAAGGAGCCCCTAACCCAAAATCCCATCTGTAACTGAGGCAAGGCAGGTGCAAAGTGATCCTTTCTCTATCAGAGCCTCCTGAAGACAGGGAAGGTCAAAGCCCAGGAGAAGGGTTTTGTACTAAGAGCCTTGAGAAGAAACAAAAGGACTGAGAAGGTGGTGGGAGTAAACCCAGGAGATGGCTTTGTAATCAAGGTCAAGTCCAAGCACTCAATGGGACACTGGGGTGTGGGGAAGGTGTGTGAAGAAGAGGGCAAAACAGTTCATCTTCCTGGTCTAATCCTACCATCTTCCAGCCTCTGGGAAGCAATCTCCACCCCCTGGTCCTATCGGCAGTTCTACTTTACTTCACCCTGGTGCAGACAGATGGCTGGAGACAAAGGATGGGAAGGAACAGAGAACACCAGGGTTCAGACAGACAGCCGAGGTATCAAGTAACCCTTGCTGCCTGCAGCCCTTGGCTTGGCATCTTCTCCAGCCCATAGCAGCTCTACACACCATATCCTTGGCAGGAGGCCTGCTCTTATCAACACTGGAAGGCGATTGCCATCTCAGGGGAGGGGGCACCCCAGCACGCAGGCAGCTCTATGCCCGGCCGCACCCAAAGCTCCAGCTCACACAGGGAGCAACAACAGATCCCAAGTCCAGTAGGTTCAGCCTGGCTCCCAGTAGGCTTTCACCCTGCCCACTAGCCAGCTCAGAGCCCCGTGCAGGCAGGAATGAACTCAGCCTCACACAGGAAAACCCTGGGTCATGAATCATCTGATGAAGCAAGCTTCAGGTCACAAAACCTTGTGCTTGATCTCTGCTTTGGTTAGTCTGTGAGGTTCAAATTGGCCTTGCCTCCTTCTGGGCTGCAGGCTAAGGGGGCCAACTCTGTCTATCTTCTTCAATCACCCCCACCTCATAGTGAAAAGTTGGGGCACAGGAAAAATAAACAGCTTGGCCAAGCATGCGGATGCGTGTGACAGAGCAAGAGCTACAACCCAGGAGCCTGAGCACTCTGCCGTGCCATAGCCACCAGTGAGTTCCCCACCTGAGGCAAAGGAGGGAAGGGGGGGGGGGAATCTCTGCAGAAAGGGTCAGAGAAACCAGATTAAGGCTGGAACTTGGAAATGTCTGCCTGTGTAGAAGATGCAGTTTAGCAGAGATGCTTGGGGGGCAACAGGATAAGTGTTTACAAAATACTAAATTGTGAAGAGAAAAGTTGATGGGGATTTATTACCGTTTCTCACCACACAAGAACTAGGGGTCACAGAATAAAGGGTGGGACTTGTTGCCACCAGATGCAGTGGAAGCTGAGAGTTCAGCCAGATTCACAAGCAGAGTGGACACGTTCTTGGAGGAAAGGGGCATCAGTAGCTACTGAGCACAGGAATGAGGGGCATGGCCTCCGTCCTTTGGCTTCATGCAAAACCATACTGAACAGTCAAGCTGCCCAGGCCAAACAGAAGAGGAAGATGCAGACCAGTGACCCTCACAGGGTGAGACCAGCAAGGACTCTGGACTTCTGCAGCAGGGAAAACCCTTGAACAAAATCTCTAGAGAAGTTACCAGGGAGGAAGCCAAGTGCTCCAGACGTTCCTTGCTGAGCAAAACCCTTCTAGGGGATTTTTAAATCAGCGCAAAGAGCTCCACAACCTGTTTATCAGGCCTTGTTCACAGCAACATTCCCTTCCCCTTCTGCTTGAAGGGGGAAGAAATCTCCATTGTTTCAGGCAAGATTTAGTGACCACTAAACCATGGTCATTGTCCCCAGACAGGGTTAGCTAGAGCGTCTGGGGGTTTTGCTGTAGTTCCAGCACCCAATCTTCAGTCTCCAAAAGGCTGCTCTATACCAATACAGCAACTTGCTTGCTCTCATCCCCATCAGAGACGTGAAGGGGACACATGCTCAAAGAGCACCACAAACCTAGAGTTTTCACAACCCACGTCTTGCTTTTGAGGGAGATGGATCCTGAGTCAGACTGTATTAGTGTGGCACTTGCAAAGTTTGATTCCTAGCTGGTCATGTATATAAGCCCCCAAAAGCAGCAGAACTCCCAGCAGGATGGAGAGGACCAGGGAAGTTCCAGCACAACAGAAGGAATCGGGTAATAAGAAAACCCTAGTGACCCCAAGTGCCCTCCTGGGACCAACGGATAATCCAGCCAGGGGCCCACACCAACCATCAAGCCCACGCAAACACATCCACACACCCACCAGATGTGTACCAGTAATTTATTCAATCCTCTACAGCTCATTGGGACACAGAGGAGTTAAGGCACAGGGTTTTCTGCATGGAGCCGTTCGATTGGTGCCTTTGGCAGCACTGGATTTTGCTGTTCTACACACTGGCTGTACTGGGTGTTGATAGTGCTCCTCTGTGGCTGATGCAGAACAAGAGAAGCCCATCCCTTTCCCAATCACATGCAAGTCAGAGAATAGCAGTCAAGCCTGCTAGCTAGCACTTTCCACTCTGTCTAAGAAACACGCACTCCCTAAACACACTGCCGAAAGCTACAGCATTAGCCCCTACTCTAGAGACAATAATAATTTACTGGAATAAATACAAGTGCAAACCAAACCCCTGCTGCTTCAATAGCTACCACGGGTGCCACTAATCTGTACGCACTCGGGAAAGGGGTTGCTGAAAGGCATCTTAGGTGCTTTGATACTGCCACGCCTCTCTTCTGCTGGGTCCAGAATAGAAGGGAGTAGCTGAATTTTCCGAGGACGGTATGTTGGGGCAGATGGGTTTGCTGTGCGCTAGGCTCCAAGCTGGAAGTGGTGTCGTGCCACGTTAGGAGGAGCCTAGAAGCAGATCTTTTACAGAAGGATTGAAAACCAGAAGTCTTAGCTGGTTAGCTGAAGGTGGGAGTCCAGCGTAGCACAGGACTCCTCATAGAGCAATACCAGGCTTCAGCATGTGACTGGGAAAACTTGTAGCAGGGATGCTCTTGGGCTCAGGGAGTCTTGTATGTACACCCATTGGTCAGCCCCTGCCAGATACACTACACATGCCCTGTCCAACGAGCATGTCCTGCTGCACACTGGAGCCCAGCAGAGACAAGCAGAAGCATCAATAACTTGCAGCTCTGCTAGCGCTGGAGGTGGCACGTTGTTCCTTGAAGTGCTACAGTTCTCTCCGTGTCTGGTGAGCAGAGGGAGGCAGCAGTGGCCACGAAGCCGGAGAATGGCAGGGAAGGGGGAAGATCGGGTCAGAGGCAGCAAACGGAGTCCCCACAGGTCAAAAGCAATGCCAGGATGCTCAGGTTTCCACCACTCTGATGAGAGGGAGCGGTTTGGGTTTCAGGGGACCCGCCAGACTCTTGCTACAGGACAAAAGAGAAGCACTTGTTCAAGCCAGGCCATGCCGTCCAAGGCTCACAGCTTTCACATCAAGCTAGAGCCCCTTGTGGTCCCTGCCTATGGTCAAGCCTCAGACAGGAAGGGACCAAACAACCAATGCCCTGGTGAGGTAAGGAAATGCCTTCCATTTAACAAGTAATTTGGTCAAAGGTCTGACAGAGGCAGCACCACCAGGACACCAATCTCCTCCCCCATGCCCAGGCCAGGGCTCAGCTCCCCAAAGCAGCAGCATCCCGTGGGGCCTTTCCAGCCTCCTAGAGGCCAGTTCAGGGACCCCGCTCACCTGCTCACGTACTCCGATTTTGAACGTGGCCGGGAGCTGAAGCTGGAGCTGCCAAGGTTGATTTGCTTCTCAATCAGGTGATCAATGCGTTCGTGCATCTCCAGATTCTGAAAGAGGATGGACCCAGAAGAAGTTAAAAAACAGGGAGACAGCAGAGGGCAAGATGCGCCGAAAAGGGTAGAATGAAACAGACAGCTGGCTGGGCTCTGGAAAGCAGCCCAGGGTTTGCCCACTCCACTGGGAGATTGCACTGAACAGACAGTTCTGCTCCCTCCACCAAAGATCGCAGATCAATACCTTGACCAGAGTGTCCGTCTGTGTGACCTGGAGTCTCCAGGCACAGATGGACTATTTTATAAATCTCCTGGGATATTTCAGTCACTTTCTCTGCCAGTTGCAGCCACTGATGCTTCAGAGAACGTTTCCCCTGAAGAAAAGCCCGAGTGTGCTTTCATGCTTTTCTGATCCCTGTACCCTAGTAAATTTTCAGCCAGGATGAATGATACCCTGGGGTGCTGCAAGATCCTTTTAAGGGTGCCATGCAATATTAGCACTGTTACGTCTGAAAACACCTATGTACGATTCACAAGATAAACTCAAAAGATTCCAAATAAAAGTCTGTGGTCATGAACACGCTGCCCTGCTGTGGTCTCTCTGAGCTCTTTGCAACAAAAGAATTGCTTTGTTATTCATCCATAGTCAAAAAATGAGCGAAAGCCAAGAGCTGGCATTTTCTGAGGGGGGCTGAAGAACTACTGCCAGACCCCACTAAGATCAAGCTCCACCACGACACATTTTAATCTATACAAATTAAAATTGGACTTCAGATGTGAACAAAGCAGATGGATTCAGCTTCAGTTGCACCAGCTGTTTCAGGTAGGCTTTTTCTCCAGAGTTAGGGAAAGGGTTTTGTGCCCCCACACAGTCCCAATTCAAAGTCAACAGCAAGGAAAGAAAAGGCTTACGAACTGCTAACGCATGCTCAGCTTTTAGGTAAAGGAGGAGATTAATTTGACACTGCACTGCTGTGAATTCAAGGTCCTGGAACCCAGCTTAACACTGCAATTTTAACATCTGGCACAAATACACACTTGACACCAACTTTTGGGGCAAAATGCAGTCATAGAAATTGTAAAGAAGCAGGGCTGGAGGGACCTCCAGAGGTCACAGCTAGTCCAACCACCTGCCTGAGGCAGGATCAGCCCTGTCCAAACTAGCCCAGACAAACTCATCATCTAAACTCTTCATAAAACTATTGTCAGCCCTGACACAACACAGGACATTACACCCAAACCTGACGCACATAAAGCAGGGGGACCGTGGCAGCCAATGTCCTGCTTCTATAAAAGGTTATTAATATACGCTCGGGAGATTTTAGGCAGACAGCCAAGCCTCTACTACAAAGGAAGGCAAACACCCGTCAGTCCCACCCCTAAAAGCCTGCTTCAATTTGACCCTGGGGTAAAATTTCTTCCTGATCTCAAATATGAAACCAGTCTGACTCCGAGCAAAAGGACTCATGTAGACACATTTCTGCAGCAAGTTTAAGAGGAAGGATCTTATGGGTTAATAGCAGGCCCATGCCCTTTGAGCAGATGAGCAGAGTGGAACAAGCATACCTCAGCTGTCAGGTGGGCTACTTGCTCTCTGAGTTCTTGGATAATCTCATCCTTGGCCTGGATCACTGTTTTTGAGTTCTGCAGCTGCAAAGGGAGTTTGTGAGAAGGTTACGACTGGCTCAGACACGGCTCAGGCTGGATGGGGCATCTGGAAAGCAGGGCAGACAGCACAGCCGTCCCTTCAGCTTTGCCAGTGCCAAACTATTGGGTGTACACCATCTGCTTTTATCGGAGCATGGACTCTGTGGGCAGGCCAGAGTACTCACCAAGGAGCCGTTTTGCTGCCAGAGATTCCCAGACAGGCCTCCCTGCAGCTAAAAGTCCACACTTACTGCCAACAGAGAAGAGCAACTCGCTGCCTCCAAACTGCGTCTTGGGTCCAACTCCTATCAGAGTCCCTGTTCCTTCAGATCTGACCTCCCAGGATCTCAGCCCCAGGAGACCACCCCTGCCTCCGATGGTGGGGCTGGGGAAGCAGGAGGGGGAATGCTCTTGTCATAACCTCTGGGATTTAAAACTTGAGTCCTCATGCCTACAGGCAGAGGACCAGGCTACAAATCCACCGGAAACAGCCTGCTCCAGTTCAGCTGTGTCCTCCCTTGAGATTCACAACAGAGGATCAGGTGACCTGGGAGGACCAATGGAGGCCAGAAGCCCCTGATGGGAGAGCTACAAAACCCCCCACTTCCTTGGGCCTTGTCCCTACAATAGTTCTCCCAGTATCTCTGTTTGGAGCTACTTGCCCAACTTGCCTGTATTGGCTCTCCCAGCTCTGGGCTCATGGTAATATCGACTCTTGGCTGACCCGCCCTTGCCACCTGGTCAGACCCGTGACAGCTCTCGAGTCAGCCCCAGCTGCATGTCAGGTGCCACCCACCTGCTCGATCATGTGCCGGACTTTGCGCTGCTGACTCTTCAGCATGTCATCAAGGTGATGGATCTTCTCCCGCAGCATAGCCACTTCCTTCTCCAGCTTGGCCGACCTGGGAAGGCAGCACAGGAGACTCATGAAGAGCCTTCTAATCAACTCACGTTAGCACAGGGAGGAGTTAATGGCATCATCCAGGCCTTGTAAGATGCTGCAATTCATCAAGAACTACCGCATTTTTGCCATTGAAAACATCTTGCATAGAACTGTCTGGACCACGCCCCAATACTTGAAAGACCTGAAGAACCATAGAAGTCAGATTGGCAGGGGTCTCAGGAGGTCACATCTAGTCCAGCCCTCTGCTCAAGGCAAGATCATCCCTGACCAAAACAACCCAGACAAGTGTTTGTCCAACCTGCTCTTATAAATTCCCAAAGATAAAGATTCCACCCCCTCTTCTTCCTGCATCTCAAGCAGAGCCCTCTTAAGAATCAGCCTGCTCACAACTTCTTTCCTCTATGGGCTGTGCTAAGTCTGGACAGTAGATAAGGGAAGTCCAGTACAGAGAGGTGGAGGATTGCTGTTAGAATCAGAGAGGTCATCAGTTGGGCAGGTCTAGTCCAACCCCCTGCTCAAGGCAAGATGATTCTTATCTAAACCATCCTAGACAAGTATCTGTCCACCCTGCTCTTTCAAACTCCCAAGGACAGAGGTTCCACTCCCTCTCTGGGCAGCCTGTTCCAACGCCAAACCACCCTCAGAGCAAGAAAGTTCCTCAGCTCCAATCCCAATTTCCCCTGCTACAATTTCAGACATTGGTCTTCCCTACAGCCACAGAACAGTCTACCTCCATCCTCCACATGAGCACCCTTCACGTATTTAAAGACTTCTCCTATACCACTTTCATCTTCTCCAGACAAAATCACCCTAACTAATTGAACCTGTCCTCACCTGTCATCCTTCCTAGAACCCAGGTCCTTCTTGTGAAGGAACAGGGACAAACACCCAACAGGATGTTGAAGGACAAGGGGTCACTGAGCAGAAGGCACAGTAAAGGGTCAGAGATAGGATGGCAACAGGTGTGCGCAGAGACAGACAGGGCTTGAATTTATCTGGAGTGAGGTCGTTGAGCACAGAGACTACAACCAGGGAGATCCTAAAGCAGGGGCAGCAAGCAAAGGCAGCGAAGCATGAAGTAAGGTGGGTTTGATGCAAGATAGCTCAAGACCTGCTTTCCTAATGGAGCCACTAGAGGCCTCTGCTGAGCACTCCTTAGCTCTTTGCAGCACTAGGGCTTAGCCAGCTCCCTGAGAAAGCCGCCACACTACACTTTCTACAAGAACCGTAACCCAAGCTGCCACAGTGGTGGCCAAGGAGCCCCAGCACCCACCTCAGACTGGGCCTCACCTCTCCTGCTCAGTGAGCCGATCACTTTCCAGGCTCCTCAGTTTTTCCAGCTCATCTTCGCTTTCCTTCATCTTCTTCAGCAGACTCTGATGCTCCTGCAACAGATGGGAGGGGACAAGCTGCAGAGCTGGGAAGCAAGCAAGACCAGGCCCTGCCCAGACTCTTGTTCATGGCAGGCATAATATATGGGGCCACATGGATCAGCAAAGCAGGGAAAGATCAGGGTCCTGCTGGGAAGGGCAGAAGTTATGGTGCTTTCCTAGCACTGGATTCACATGAGATACCGGGCCACAGACATATGTGGCAGGGGCAGCCCAAGTAGAAGCAAAGCAAGATTCACATGCAGTGTGCTCTAGCATCATGCCGCCCTGGACACATCCCCACACAGCCAAGGGAAGCTCACATCATCCTTGGCCAGTGCCCTGTATCCCAAGGCTTTGCATCCAGGCTACACCCTGGCAGCAGGTTAGACTATCATGACCTCAAATCATCAGTGCAAACAGACCAGAAATCCAGGACCAGAATCCCTGCTGAGGTCTGCGTGAGGTAAAAGATGCATAGGAGTCCCTGCCATCTAACCGCTGAGACTCGGTGAAATACTCAGGTCCCATATAAAAAGAGAGAGAGACTGGATCTCTTCCTTTGGAAGCTTTCAAGCAGCTTCTGGGAGGCTGAGCTCCAAACCAGTCAGCTCCCTGCTTTCCTATGCAGTGCTGATCTACAAAACAGAACAGTTCCAAGCCAGGTTACCTGACATCCAATGCTCTCCAGCAAACTTCAGCCTCTCTACCCAGAATGCCAGTCTGTATGCTGGGGGTTAGGAGGGGTTATTAGCTGAATATCCATCTACTAGACCTTGATTCAGCTGCCCTCAAACTGCCCCTTGGCAGCAGGGCAGAAAGCATGCCAGCCTGAAGAATGCCGCTGAATCGCTCCATAGAGCTGAACAGCAGCTAGGCTCACACACTGCAAGCACTGTGCCCCTCTTTCCCCCCAGCAGCACTGCCCAGGAGCCCTGACACTTTAAAAACTACTGTGAACCCTGCTTCCTAGCCATGAGAAGATCTAGGGTTTTGAGAAGGTGCGGTGCAGATGGCGTGATGCATCATCTCATATAACACAACACACATTTTTCTGCTGGCAAAAAGGAACTAGAAGCTTCACTGATAAGCAACAGGCCTAGAGCTATAGCATTCAATTTAAGATTGAAGCCAAAAAATAAAAACCTTTATTGGAATGTGCATTAATTTGCTGTATTGCATATGAAAACACAATAGACCAGGCAAAAGTAATACAAGGATTTGTGTCAGTCCTGTAGTTGTTATAGTTAAATGTATGTCTCTCAGATTCATGAAATGAGCCCTCTTGAGCATCTTGCCAGTGCCTCCAGGGCTCCATTGAAAATTATTTCCAGGCCTGAGCTAATGTTCACCTGAGTTAGTTTTTTCAGCTAGAGTGAAAAAACAGTTTGCAGAGCTATGAAACGGGAAATGTGTCAACGAGAGCAGCTAACACACAGCAGAATTGCAAAAGAAAGGACAGTTTGATTCATGGAGTCATTAAAGACCATTTAAAAAGGAAAGAGGGGCATTAACACATATTGAACGAAGAAATTAGAAGGAACCAGATAGAAGACAATGAGCCCATGAAGTCAAGTGACTTCCTCAGCACTGCCTGAATAGAAATGCTGCTGCCGCCGCCAGATAGTTGGCTTTAAACTCTGGGTACAGCAGGAA